ATAAATTTAAATAAAAGGAAATTTTAATATTAAATAAAAAGCTATAAATAAAATTTATAATACTTAAAAAAATAAATATATTAATTTTATTAAAAAACTTGATTAATATAAGTTTTATAATATAATAAATTTATATAAAAGTAAAGTTAAAAAAGCCAGGTACTTACAGCTAAGGTAGTAAAATCCAGCGTTATTAACAGAGATAATACGACCAATCAGAAGTGGTAAAAGTTATGCCCGTGTAAGTGTCATGCCCGTGTAGCAACTCCCAAAAAAAGACCTTGAGTTCACGAACGAAGTGAACTCAAAGGTGAACTCAAGGCATAAATCGACAGGAATCCTCTCAACTGAGCTTAAGTGCTAGCAGGCGAGATCGGAACGGGCATAGCGACCTGAATCCTACTAGACAAAGTTCCATCCTGTACGGCAGAAAAGATCTTTGTGACTGAAAAGCCTATAGTCCGGGTAGGCTTACTTCCGCCATCCCTTTGCTGAGCAATAGACGGATGATCTGAGAAACCCAAATGGAAGGGAACACATAGATCGTTTCGGATGAATTGATAAATTTTCGACGTAAAGGGCGCAAGATATCTCGAGGTGGATTGACACTTACAAAACTCAGCATCCACGTCGAGAAACCGTGAATGAAACAAGATTGCGGCCTCTGATTTCCAGTAGTGCAACGAAGTAACAAGAGAAATGTTACAATTCCACACAGATATATACTCATCTCTGTTAAGTAAATCATCTGCTGCATGAATAATAGTCTGTTTGCACCGTTCTTGAATGTCGAGCCGGCTATTCATGGCCCAAATCTTCTGAATGCTCGCCCATAGTGCATCGAACAAAGTATCCAGGTTCTGGTTCTGAGTACATTCTGATGTAATGACAGCTGAGCATCGGGCATGAAATAATCCTAGTAAAACAGGGCGTGCTTTTAGGAAGAAATCCATATCTCGTGCCCGAAGATCTAGAGCCTGGCACAGCAAGAACATAATACTTGCGGCCATCATGGAAACCAAGTCGTTGGACTTCTGAGTCATTCGGGCGGCAATTAATCCTAGTGAATTTACCGACTGGTTGTTCATCTCTGCTGTTTGTACATGGCTGGCAACTGAGTTAGCAAAGAATGCAAGCTCACAGAAGTACGCTGTCATGTTGATATCAACTGCCTTGCCTGTGAAGGACGTGCTGGGATTGTCAGCGACTAAATTTGGAGATAAACCATGACTGAGGTAAGGGTTCACGAGTTCGTTTGACTGAGCAAGAAGCAACCTCCCTAGCATTACCAACGCAGTACGCGTCTTTTCCATGGCTGAAGTTACAGACACAGCCTGAAAGTTGCCCCCGTGGTAAACTCGACTTTGTTCTGAATCAATCAAAGGATTGTCAGTGGTAGAATTGAGCTCAGTTTGTATTTGCGAAGTGGCAGCCTGCAGGTCCTCCACGAGGGGTCCGATCCATTGTGATGCAGTGCGGAGGGCGTAGCGATCTTGTGCAAGACCTCCACGACTGTTTCCCTCCCGACAAAGGCTTGATTCTGCCACAAACGCTCGAATATTCCGAGCTACCTCTGTCTGTCCATAATGAGGCCTACAAGCACTGATAAACTCGCAGTAGTTCTCTGGAGTACCCAACAAGGCTTCTGCGGTCATGGCTGTAATAACTTGACAAATTACAGCAAGGTTGTTGCTGTCGAAAACCACTTGTGCAGCTAAGGCAACGCTGACTGACGTTCCATTCATTATTGCGAGACCCTCCTTTGGCTGTAAATGAATCTCTCTGATGTTGAGTGTACTTAGAGCTGCAGAGGCTGTGACTAGCTGCGGTACGCCATCTTTGACATACCTGACCCATATATCAGGATTGCCTTCGAGCAGACCACCCAGGTAAGATAATGGTGAGAGATCACCAGACGCTGATATACTCCCTCGAAGGGGAACCATCGGCAACATGCCCTTGGACAAAAACTGAAGAAGAACTTTGATCAACTCCAGCCGAATTGCTGAATGCCCTCTGAGCAACGAATTGCACCGAATAGCGATAATGGCTCGGACAAGATCATCAGACATCGAGTAAGGCTCACCACTGAGTCCAAGCTTGTCTTTGGGAAGATATAGAGTCTCGGGCATGATCCCAGCTTGATGATGCTGCAAGAAAGATTGTTGCAGATTCGTGTAATGTTTAGTTCTAGCATCAGCGTTTCCACCACATCCCGTATTCACTCCTGCGAAGAAGATTTAGAATCTGAACACCCACGTTGCAGGCTGTAACTAACCATATATACTGTCATTTCTAGTTAGAACATTTTGCAAAACCTCAATGCTTCTCTCCATCGTCGCCTCAACTGCAGGCCCCGAATCTGCTACAGCGCTGATTTGGTACCTTGGACCTATCAGTCGTCGTGCTTGTTCTTAGTGAGCATGGGTAACTGTACCTTGACAGAGCTATTATTTCTGCAAGACCCAATGAATGGCCATCAAGTATGATTGGCTTCTGGCCATGGATGATGACGTGAATTCTTGTCCAGACGGACATTGTTGCTCCGATGTGGGACATTGTTATCGCTGCAAGGATTTCTGTATATTCTCTCGAAGAAATTCGTCGAGGTCCGACTCGAAGTGAAATTTAAATGTGTATTTCTGAACTCTTCAGACTGAAGGCAGGAGGCACGCAAATAAGTTGCTGCAATGCCTGCAAGTAAGTATGTGTTCACACGTGGGTTGCCGATCTTAATGCCTATATGCTGGGGGAAAACATTCCTGAGAGTCAATGCAGTTTTGGGAGGTCCCGCTAAATCGTGCCAGATGAATGTGGGCTCAAAATGACGGAAAGTCCTGTGGCATTGTTGCTCGTTGTAGGTAATTGAAGGGTGCAGGTGTCAGACCAAAAAAGACTACATCATGCGCTGGTAGCATTGAGATTGACAGGAGGGTTTGTAAACGAAACAGCGCTAAAATGCAATGGCCGCGTGTGGCAGTGCAACCTGGAAGGAGAGAAAAATTTCTCCCCGCCCACCTAACACCGATAAGTAGTAGTTCAGGTGGGGCATCGTGAAATCTAACACGCACATCCACTAGTATGCTTACACCCCCCCCAACAGCGGAATGTTTGTATAGAACTTCAAGTTCTACTAGAAGTAAAATATCCGCCAACCGCTGTTACCAAGTCGAACGAACCAAATCACTTTCCTTACAACTTCATTCTCTAAGCTTCACCGTCCTAACACTTTACTGTACATGTAATTCCATAATGGCAACTTCTACAAAACTTTACAAACCAGAGCAGACAATCTGCGTGCGTTCATTCCCCCCAGTCGAGAAGCCAGCCACATTTGTTGCTAGTAAATCAGTTGAGTATTAACCTTCCTCACAGTATGGAGATGGACGAGAACAAGATCTGCTCAAGTTCATACAAGATCACCCGAGATACAAGCAAATGCAAGACAGCCCTCTAGAGGTTCTTTCTGCCGTCGATGAATATGGAGCGCAGTATAATTTCTTGATGAACGTTGGAAAAGACAAAGGTCGCATAGTGGCGCAACAGATTTCCAAGCAACAGCCGCGAGTAATGGTCGAACTCGGGTGCTATGTCGGCTATTCTGCGATTCTATTTGGCTCGATACATCGCCAATGTGGGGGTACTAAGTATATCAGCCTTGAAATAAATCCGGATTTCGCAGCAGTTGCCTCAGCCATGATTCAACTCGCCGGTCTGCATGAGCATATTGAAATTGTCATTGGGCCTTGTGAGGTATCACTGCGCGAGGCACGAACATCGGGAAGACTCAAAACGATTGATCTTCTCTTCCTGGATCATCAAAAGTCGGCCTATGTTGGTGATCTGATGCTCTGTGAGGATCTTGGTCTCATCGATTCCGGATCTGTTTTGGTAGCAGATAATGTCATTTCTCCCGGAGCGCCGGGCTATCTTGAGTATGTACGGGCAAGCAAAGATGAACGCAACGACCTGAGAGTCAAGGCAGCTCAAAATAGCGCCCCTTCTGTCAACCCCCAAACTGGACTCACTTACGACAGCACTCTTTACCGCGGCTTTGAGCCTACTGGCGAGCCGGTAAGTGTTCTCTGATTCAAAAACTTTATACTTTGAATCCAGGGAAGCTAATAAATGTAGGATGGTATTGAGATATCTCTTTGTAAGGCTTAGGCAAATTATGGGCATTATAGGCTATAGTAGCTTAGGATACGTATTGTTACGGGCTTCGCCTGATGCCGTGGACCCGGCTCTGCTGGACTCGGAGCAGCAGTGCCGGACCAGCCCAACGTGTCAATGTACTTCATTTCGCCTTAAGCTTCCAGTGTTCCACACAGCAACTATACGGTCGTGAGCTCGCTTTTATCTTTCTTCTTTAGCTTTAGATAGACAATTATATAATACTCTTATATTAAATAAATATTAGCTTAATCTCTCTTACTTATTAGGGTAGTCTTTTTAGTAACTGTTATTATATAAGAATATAAATTATTACGTTAATAAACTTTTAAATTAATAGTATAATACTTATACCCTATATAGATAGACCAATCTCCTTCCTTGCATTTCACCAAGGTAGAAAAGTAGGAGTGAACAGAAGGTCAATCTACTGCTGCCGTCCTCGACCAGTAGAAATGGTTTTTTTTATATAGGGGGGGGATTCCGCTAAATGGTGGCTTCGGGATCGATCGACGATCAAATCGATTGACAGGTCTGGTCGATATGATCGAAATCGAAATCAAGTCGATTATATCAATCGCTCGATCGATTCCGAAGCCTGCGACAGCAACGCAACTAGGTTTGCTAGTTGAATAACCTTTCTTTAAAACTCTGATATTTACACTAACAAACGCAAAAGTCGCTAGCAAAAGGGCAATCTGCAAGGCTACTTGTTGTGTGCACGGGAAGGTTGTCACAAAACATGGTCAAATTACGGGTTTTGGGAACGCAACCGCCAACCCAGGAGAATATACGTGGAGTACTGGGCAGGAATGGTATGCGTTCCCTGAAGCGGTCGCTAATAAACCCACATGATCCAGGCCGCACGTAAAAGTAATTTGACACCAATAACAAACACACCTCCCGTCTGAGCAAAAATCCATACCAATGACCGACGCGATCACCCAAATTGATAGACATCGTGTTCAGGATTTTTCTTCCACCGCGTGGTGATGCGAAAATCCGATAGCTTGATCCCAACAAAAGATCTTCTCATAAAGTACTCCGTACAACTTGTCTCATACCGTGTTTTTATATCCACACGGTATAATTTCATTTGCAACTATTGCCTTAACACGTTGATCTTCCGTCCTTGTAGTGATGCGACTTAGTAGTACACGTACGTACTGTATTTTAGCTATAGTACTATACGTACTATCAGGTAGTATGTATGAGTACGCACATATAATTTTCCCTTTCATTTTTAGGCAATTAAGGTAAACATCGCAGACAGAGTGCCCTTAGTTTAGTATATACATTATGGACCCATAAATTCCCTGATTAGGAATATCGGGGACTTTCGTACGTACATAATACGTGTACTGTACAGCACCTTAATGTACGTACGTATATACAACGCTATAATACATTAAGTACAACATCACCAGCGATGACTGGATCGTGGCTGGTGTCAGCGATGATGGTCAATGGTCAATTCTGTTGGCGGCCCGCTTTTGCCTACGGGTCCGTGGCAAATTATAGCCACGGGACCCGTGGCTCTACCGTGTCCTATTAAAAGTCTCGTATCTCAAACCATGACTACAAACACTCTAATGCTTCAATTACATCACTCCCCATCCGGCTTCGACGATCTGTAATCGTTATCTTCGCCCCAAAGGGCCTTTGAGGCTCCGCAAACATGGGATTCGTTGACAGGAAGCAGTCGTTGGTCCATGGGTGTGCGTGCTGACGGTGTTGAGACCAGAACCTTCGAAATGAGCAGTGCTATTCGCACAAATACAAATCTCTATTTGCACAGATATGTGTCTCACTTTTGACTCACCTACCCCCACCCTGGTCACCATTAGGAATATTACGCAGTGCAGGCGGAAAGTTACAAACTGCTGGCATCAAATTCATCACTACAGCACACACGGCGATATACACAGTGATACGTACGACAACACACTGCGAAACACACGGGTTTACCAGAATATCAAAACCCTTAAATTAATTTAATTATTATACTTCTAGGGTATATTTAGGTTATAAAGCATTATAATAATAAAGTATCTTATTAGCTGTATATTCTTAACTTATTAATATTACTCTTTCTCCTCCTCTTTATAATAATATTTTAGTCCTTTAAACTACAGTTTTTACTATAAGTTATTATTAAAATTATAGCATTATAGCTAATAAAAAACCTAGAATAATAATATAGCTTTTAGCTAATAACTCTCGTAATATTTAGTCCTGGTTTACTAGTAACCTCTTAGTATATAATACTTTTATATAACTTTATTTTATTACCTTACTATAAACTTATTAATATTTATTTTTTTATAATAATTAAAATATATATAACTATAGCTTATTAAGTTTAAATTAAAAGCAGTTATAGTAAAGGCTCGTATTTAACTGGCAGGTTCCTTATCCCGCGTTCTGACTAGGCTGTCGGCTCAGACCACGACCTCGCGCTGAATACCTACCTTGACTTCGTTGTACAGGCCTAGTTTTGGTATTATTATTGTCCGTATCGTCGGCGTCGCTTCCCGGTTTAGAGGTATTACAGGACCTTAAGCTTCTTGTTGTCGGTATTCAGGCGCGGCCTGCCTTGTGCGCTTCTAATAATAACCAGGTCGTAAATATTAAGTAGTTTATCCTCCGCGTTCTAATAGGCTATTAATACTTATATCTTATAATAGTAATAAGCTAATATACTAACAGCTTTTTAAGCTACTAACACACTATAATTTAGCTTTATTATAAAGGCGTACTGTTTATAAAACAATTAAAAATATAATAGCTATAAGGTAAGCTATATTAATACTTAAAGTTACTTATATAAAAGTATAGTAATTTAGGCTTATATTAATTAGGTAAAGTAGTAAAGGTAAAGTAATACTACTTAATAATAAGGTTAATAATTAGATATATAATTTAAAGGTTAAGCTTATTAAGCTATTCCTGCTTAAAG